TCTTCTCAGCTATAGGACCCAGATTATAGAATGGTGCAATCTGCCTTAGAAAATCTATCTCGTCCCTTCTTTTTCTGTGCTTTGCCATCACCTCTTTCTTCAGGCTTTCAGCCTGGTTTGTTTTTGTGTTGCTGCAGTTGTGATGCTGTTGCTTTAGCTTCCTTCTGGATATTATCGCTCTGTGGTTCTCAGTCTTTACTCCTCCACATATTTGGGATTTCAGCTCCAGAGTGGAGTTCAAGTGCATTAGTCATACCGGTAAATACTTTTTAGGAAGTGAGATCCAAACCATATGGAAGCCTAAAGTTTGAGGACTACTGCTATAGTTCTTTTTGGCCTGCTGTTGCTTTGCATTGTTTTTGTGTATTTTTTCTTTTTAAAAAACACATTTTAAAACCTTTGCCCTCTCTTTTTCATCATCTCTCCCATAATAACAGAACCCAGAACCAACCAAGCAAGCTGAATAGCATGAGATTCAGAAGTGATAAAAGTTCAGCACTAATATTTCTATGCAGTTCATAGCCAAACTGAGAAAGTCACATTGTGTCCTCAGAATGTACCAATGTTCACCAACATGGATATCTTTGATGAAGAATTGGAGAATGTCCTTCACAGTACAGCTCTTAGTGACATGAATAAGCAGAGATTCTGCATCATATCTATGGAGCATAATGCTCTTCATGTACCATTCCTTACCCTCCTCCAGCAGCTGTCAAGCCCCAGGAAGATTTGGGAAATGGTTGGAAAATGTTTCATCTGGGGTTTTGGGATATCTGATGAGATGAATCCTGAACTGTCAAGAATCTTCAGACTTTGGGATCTATTCTGCACACAATTTGCCAACAGTACTCCTGCACAGAAAACAGCATTTTTTTTTCTGAATGGAAAATATTCCATTGTATAGATGCATAGATATATTATTTTCTGCCCAGAAAAATATTGTTTCTTGTTTAGAAGATGCTGGCTTTTTGTGAAAACAGCAACAACAACCCCATATGTGAATGTGGTACAGAGCAAGTCTCAAACAGAGACTAGTTTTTGCACATTTTTTCTTTCAGCAGGGAGAAAATTGATCCACATACTAGTTGCTTTCTTCAAGAACAAAATTAACAAAGAATTGCATCCAAATGAAGGATGCAACCAAACTGTGAGGCATATGGCTCATCCAAGCAGCAATTCTTCAGGAAGGAAGAAGGAAAATAAGGTTCATACTCAAACAACTCTTACCCTGAGGAAGTTCTTTCTAATGTTGAGATGGAAGCTCTTTCCCTGTAGCTTGCATCCATTGCTCTATTGTGTCCTATTTTCTGGAGCAGCAGAAAACAAGCTTGCTCCATCCTCAATATGACTTCCTTTCAAATACTGAAGCAGGGCTATTATGTAACTTCTTAACCTTCTTTCTCTAGGCTAAACATACCCAACTCCCTAAGTTGCTCCTCATAAAGCATAGTTTCCAGACCTTTCACCATTTTGGTCACCCTTCTCCAGCTTGTCAATATCCCTCTTGAATTGTGGTGCTCAGTAATGTACATAATATTCCAGGTGAGGTTTGATCAAAGCAGAATAGAGTGGCACTATTGCTTCCCTCACTCTTAATAAGGCTTTAGTGAATAGACCCTTGAGAACCATCCAAAGTAAGACATAAATCTACATAGCACTGAATTATATGCACATAAATCACCAGCAGAAGTCCAGCATTGTATTATCCCAACATTAGAGGTGTTATGCTTCATAGTAGTAATTCCCAAGGAGCAGGCACGGTAAGGGACTTCCATGCACATGTCCCACTTGTGGCATGATTTTTACTGTAGAAACACAATGATGGGTTAGATAGACCTTGGGACTGATCTAGAAATGTCTCTCTTTGGGAAACGCTAAAGCCAACTACAGCACAAATAAATAAATACAGGCACATGTTTCATTTAAACTCAGTGCTGATCAACCATTTCAGCTTCAATATGTCCTCACCAATAAACATTCCTATTAAGTTTATGATACGGAAAGTTTACAACCCCTCTTTGGTGTTATCAAAAGCCAACCCAAGAATTTTTTAGCTCAGCTGAATACAGTCCAGAAAGTGAGAAACTTCATCTCTCTGGCTTTGCTTATATCCTCTTGTGTTTGCAAACTGATTGGGGAGGGAGGGGATTGTTAGGAAAAAGAAGAAAAAAAATCTGTAGTGTGCAATGGAGCTGTGGCTGCCATCTCTTCTCGCCTTCCCCAAATACTAAAAGGTTACAGCAAATAATATGATAGGATAGATTTTCCCCATAATGCAAGGAAAATTGCTTTTTACCAACTAGCTGGCAGTTCCAAAGCAATTACAATTTGGGGGAAAGCTGAGAGGCATAGAGAGAGAATGAATGCCTCTGTACTATGTGCATGTTATTTATTTATTTATTGTTAATGGGGGAAGTGAGTAATAGCAAGGGAAAGAAATGCCTTTAAAAGCAGCAATTTAAGGTATCAGAAGGAACTGGGGGCATTAAATATTTACATTTTGCAGGAGGGCTGACTGATGAAAGTGGATGGGCGAACCCCTCTCTTAAACAGTTTTGGCAGTGACAAGGAGCTGTCAGCATCCATGCATCACTGAAGGTGGGGTAAAGGTTTGCTAAGCAACCATCTGACCCACTTTGGTTCCATTTGCTCCTTTCACTTATTCTCACCAGCTTTCTCTGTGAATATTGGGACCTGCCTCATCATCAGTCTGATTATTTGTCCATCTAACCCAGAATTTTCTTCTGCAATTGGCACTTGCTCTCCATGCTCTTGGAGGTCTTCCACATCATCAATGCTTCCTGAATTGTTCATCTCAGAGGTAGACAATGGTGGTGACTCCAAAGGCCATTTTCCATCCTTGAGACTCTCCACAGGTGTCATGCACCAGCCCAGATGCCATAAAAACACAAATAACAAATTTGAAGTGTTTGGAAGTCCAGTTGTAGTTTTGGAAGTGTTTGGAAGTCCAGTTGTAGTTTTGAAACCTGGTTAGTTTTATATATATATATATATATATATATATATATATATATATA